TATGTTATATTGTATTTTACCACCCTTCTCTCTATACTTCCCCACGGTGGCATATTTTTGTCTTACTATATTTTGTGTGTGTGTGTGTGTGTGTGTGTGTGTGTGTGTGTGTGTGTGAGGGAGGTACACTTTGGGTAGGGTGGCTGCACTGATTTTTCGTGTTCTAATATAGTACATATTTTATTGATTCTACTTTAGACATTGTCAGTTTTTATTCTACAGGATCCTTCCTGAAAACATGGCATTAGTACCTGGTGGCACACTCCACAGTAACGTAGCAGCAATGGTCAGAAATCTAAAATATCTACTTAATGCTGATCTGAGCAATCTCTGTGATTCTAGAATTAAGCATCCAATGACATTCAAATCCAACAGCCTAACATATATGTTGATACTTGAGGCTTCATTATCTGGTAGCTGAGATTCTTTTGGCCACTCATCTCTCCCTACAAACTTGTTAATACATTTTCAAAACCATGCGAAAATCTGGCAGTGAGTAGTTTACTACAGAAACAGTTTGAAAAAGTTGATAGGGAAGAAGGTGGAAGGTGTGAGTGGTTTGAACTTTTCCTTTCATTTTAGGACAAATACCCTTTTCAACTTAAAATGTTTTGTGCTCCACATTTTTCATTAATACAAGATGGCAAAAAGAAAAATATTACAATCAATAATTGTAAAACTAAGGCCTCAATTTAATATTGTAGGACAAGAATATAATTGGATGAACTTTTACAAAAAATTTTTCAAAAGATTAAAATATAAAAGTCATATAAAAATATTAATATATAAAAATGATCAAAATTTTTACAAAATATATATTTTTAATAATATTTAATAATTTAAATTTGTCCAAAAATACTTCCTAATTTTTTTTTTTCAATGTAGATATATATAAGCAAGGCACCATTTCCCTGCTTTTTGGCTTCCTGAATTCTTTTGGCTGCCTGAACTGCTGAATTTTGCCGAACAGAATTGCGGCATGGACTAAATTCTGTCATCCTAAAACATTGTTGTTTGGACGAATCAGTTTTTTTGCCATGCAAAAGTGAATGTGAGCTGACTAGCAAAGTTCAGTATTATAGTTGATTGATAAGTAGTATAATGATTTAGCCTTAAAAAAATGCTACAAATAAGTTTTTAGTAACCGTCATTGCTAGGCGTGGGGTGATAGAGGAGAGTTAATGGCAAAATGCAAAAAAGCCATTGCCGTTATATGGTAGTGAGCATAAGAGCTATACAACTTGAGTTTATCTGACGGTGAATAGAGGAATTGGAACAGATTTAAGATCTGTGTGTCTTTGTGGGAAAGAAAGAAAGAAAAAAAGAAAGAAGGAGAGAACTGAGCAAATTAATTGTTTAATTAGCCTCTAAATTCAGCACAGTAATTGTAAAATAACACAAGGCCTTGAGATGTCTAATTTGATTTAACAGCTCTATGTTGTTATATTAAAATCTGCAACATTAGGAAATGAAATAGAATAAATTATTCTTAATTAATTAAACTACAATGGAAGTTAGTGACATAAATATATATTTTTTTTCACTATGAATATGGCCTTCTAGTACATATTTAGGGAAAACTACACCCATAAACTACACTTATTAAAGATAAAGCCAACACAGGTTCTCAGCTCTCTGAAAGAGACACTATAGGCACCAAGATCACTTCAGCTCATTGAAGTGGTCTGGATGCAGTGCCCCTGCTAGTTTAACCCTGTAATGGTAATTATTGCAGTTATTGAGAAACTACACTAATTACATTTCAGGGTTATCTCCACCTCTGGTGACTGTCTACTAGATAGCCACTAAAGGCAGTTTCTGGTGATTAGATTACTTTTGGTTGCCTAACTGACACTGCATAAGGACATCAAGCATCATCTAAAACCCCACAGGAAAGCAATGATTCAATGTTTTCATATGGGGTGCTCCTAATGCAATTGCAGCTATGAAGTGTGCATTCACATAAGTGCACCCTTCCCCCAGTGGCGGATCCAGAAACTAATCTCAGGAAGGGCGCTGGCAGATCATTTTAAGGAACAATCCAGCAACAATAACCACTACAGCTCTCTGTGGTGGTTTTGGTGCCAGGAGTTGATGTGGCGCCCTCCCAGAGGGAGTAGTGAAACCGTTTAAAAAAAACTTTGATAACTTACACAGGGTCTGCCGGGATAGGGGCTGTAGTGTGTATGTGTGTGAGGGGTACAGTGTGTGTGAGGGTTGCAGTATGTGTATGGAGGGGTAGTGCATGTGTGAGGGTGCAGTGTATGTATGGGGTAGCAATTTGTATATTGGGAGCAGTGTATTTGTGTGTAAAGTGTGCAGTGTGTGTATTAGGAGCAGTGTGTGTGAGTGGTGCTGTGTGTGTGTGTGTATGGGGGCAGTGTGTGTATTGGGGCTATGTGTTTAAGGGGGGGCAGTGTGTGTATTGGGGCTATGTGTTTAAGGGGGCTGTGTGTGTGTGTGTAAGGGAGGGCTGTGTGTGTGTGTGTGTGTGTGTGTGTGTGTGTGTAAGGGGGGCTGTGTGTGTGTAAGGGGGGGCTGTGTGTGTAATTTAAAATGATTAAATAATAATTAAATAAATATAGTTCATGTCCCCCCTCCCTTCTTACCTTTGCTGAGGGAGGGGGAGACATTGCTTTCTTTCCATCCCTGGTGGTTCTAGTGGGGAAGTGAATTCTAGCCTGCAGCTCAGGCTAGAGTTCACTCTCACAAGAACGGAGCATTGCCATGGTAACCGTGGCAATGTTCCGTGCTCGCGAGAGGAGAACCTGGCGGAGCTGCAGGTAAGAGCTCCCCCGGGTTCTCTCTCCTGCTGGCTGCCAGCAGAGTGCCTGTGGGCTGGGGAGGGAGATCACTGATCTCCATTCCGGTCTGGAAGGCAAACAGCAGGTCTGGTGCTTGGATAGCACCAGCCCTGCATGGGCCAGTAGGGGAGACCCTCCACCACACTATTTTCTTGGGAGGGGCAAAATTGCCCACTCCCCGGATCCGCCACTGCCTTCCCCCCATGGTCTGATGTCGGTGCTGGAATCAGGTAAGTGACAAAAGGGTTTTTAACTTTTTCAATGCTGTAAGAGGACATGATGGAGGGGGGGATATTGGTTACTACAGTGCTAGGAATAGAACTTTGTATTCATAGCACTATAGTTTCACTTTAAATATTATGATTACAATTCATACATTCATTTAGACATGTTGTTAGGTTCTCTTCTATCACATAAACAACTTTTTGTCCTAAAATGAATGGTTACATGTTACGAGCTGCATTGTCCTCCAAGATGAAAAATTGAGTGACAAGATATAACACCTTTGGAAAACCTGTGAAAATAAAATAGTCAAGAAAGAGTAAATGACATTGAAAATTGAGTCAATTCTAAAAAGTCAATTCTGAAAGAATCACACATTCCAGACACTTTCAATATATCATTAACATATTTGGTCTTGGGTAATTAAATCTGAACACATAATTTAATTTGGACAGTCACCATGTGAGCCAATTAATCTAAAATCATTTTTTTAATCTAAAATCTAATTTACAGTATGGGAAGATAAATTTTTAGTCTAGTTTGGAGTACAAAAGTATTTTATATTAAATATATTGTTAGCTTAATAGTAATATCCACTCCTCAAATAAAAAATAAATAAAAATCACTGTTTAGTACATATGTCCCAAATGAAATCTTAGTAAGCCCTCCCCTTCTAACCATGCCCAGACTTTATGTTATTTAATCACAGACTTCCAAATGCAATTTAAGCAAAGTCTTTGCAAGTCAGGAGCTCTGGGCAATTGCTGCCTCTTGACTTCAGTGCAGATAAGCTAACCAAACCAGGATGTAATTGTACCTGTTGTCTGTTTGAAAAGCCAGGGGGTGTAACCAGTATAATTTATAAAAGTTTGAATTTCTATTCATATCTGCACTTTTTTCCAAAAAAAAAAAAAAGAGAACTCACTCTTTACACATTTCAGCAAGGTAAAATGCTTCAGGGGTCTGGAGTGTCCCTTTAACTAGAATCATTTCATAATGTGATTATATGTATTGTATTTAAAAATAGCATTTCATAAAATTTCAGACATTTTATACACTTTTAACAAGCTCTCTAGCACTGCTTCATATATGCTGACAGAGAATTAAATGAATTTCTATCCGCTCATTAATTTTTATATTTTTGCATCATTCATTATCACATATGATCTCAAGTTACACATGTCTGTTTCTGATTGATAAAGGGAGCTATTTTTGTGCTATTAATTGAAAGTTAATGATTTGTTTAACAAATTTAGCACAATGATATATTTTCTTTCTAACTGCAATGTTTTCTTTTAAACTAATTAAAACATTTACAAATAACATTTATTTCGGAGTTGCTCTTAAACCATCAAAAGAACAAAATACTTGTTTTATTTTTGGTTATGATGCAAATATGAGTTGGTAATAATTGTACTCAAAAGTTTCCAATAAAAAATAAATAAATAAAAAATATATATATATATATACACACACATAAAATATACAACTTTCTGCAAGCATTGTGTGATAGTCACCAGTAAATGTCTGGATGATCCTCTTGTGTTCTACCTAAAACAGACATATTCCTTTACACCACATATATATATATATATATATATATATATATATATATATATATATATATATATATATATATATATATATATATATATCTCCATCCAAGAGGCTGCAATGACCTGAAAATGAATACATCATAAGGTGCTGCTAGGGCCAATACATCCAAGATACAGAGCACTTGCTTATCCACTATTTATTCTTTTAAATGAAGGTTTACAGAACCAAATTATTAGTAAAGATGAGTTTGATTATCTTTTTATAAAATCACAGAAAATGGCAGATTTTTATTATCTACCTAAGATCCACAAAATACTGGAAAATCCTCCTTGTAGGCTGACCATTAGTGATGTCCCGAACTGTTCGCGAACTGTTCGCCACGGTTTGCCGTGAACGGTTTGCGCGGACTCCAGTCAGCTGACACATTCCAGCCAATCAGCAGCAGACCCTCCCTCCCAGACCCTCCCACCTCCTGGACAGCTCACTAAGAATGCAGCTTCAAAATGGATGCTGTCCAGGAGGTGGGAGGGTCTGGGAGGGAGGGTCTGCTGCTGATTGGCTGGAATGAGTCAGCTGACTGGAGTCCGCGGTGAACCGTTCGTGGCGAACAGTTCGCAAACAGTTTGGGACATCACTACCGACCATTAATGTAATTGGTTCTTTAACAAACAACGTCTCTGAATATGTAGATTTCTATTTACAACAGTATGTCTTAAAGAGAAAGCTACCTGCGCTCTCTCCTTAATCCCTATGTATATTTAGACAAATGGAGGTCATTTAGTTGCTCCAATGGCCATTGGAGGGAATGCCCGCCTGCCAACGTCAAGGCAGACCCCCCTAAAGCGGGTCCTAACACTGACCCTTCAGCCGGCTTCCTTGAGCTTCTGGCAAAGATATCTCTAATGAGACAGAGGGGTATTTTTTATATACACCCCTATATACTTATTAACCCTTAATAGGGAACACATGGGATGGGCAGCAGCATTGTAACAAGGCTGTGTGATACAAAGTAAATACAAATACAAAAAGATAAGTCCTGCGCTCACTCCCATCACTACTGGGCCGGCAGCAATGACTACAGTACACATCAGCCCCAATATATAGTAAAAACTTTGTATCACACAGCCTTGTTACAATGTTTTTAGATTTAAGCTTCCAGAATTTTGTTTGTATTGGCATTGATGTAATCACCCTGCATTTGAGAGGAGGTGATACAGAAAAAGCATTAGCCATGAAAGAGACAGAATGGATCCATAGATTGAAAATCACAACACCTATGGGTTTAAATATAGATCTGGATATATAAGGTTTTATGGATTACGTCCCCGTGTGATTTTACATAATTTTAAATGGTACACATTTTCTATGTAATTTGCAAATTTCTTTACAATTTATATATTTTTTTTAACAATTTGTGTTTTTCACAATGCTATAATTTTCAAACAGTATATTTTGGCCTAACTGTGTTGGCCTAACTCTTATCCATTCATTTTGTTTATTTATTTTTATTTTTTATTCTAGATCTTGGATTATATTATATTACATATTGTTTCGTTTTACTTGCTTCTAATACAGGATTTTACAGGAAAAGTCCGATAGGAAGAAATGCGTTGAGTCTAACGAATGCCCCTGATAAGAGATATTGAAGCCTTTCCTACAGGATTGTGTCACGGGTGGCGGTACGGAAACTGGGACCCCTGAGTGCCTAATGAGAAATTGTGAGTCTTCAGCATGGAAGTGGATTATCAGGGCCTGGCGCAGGGTAACCACACGCCCTCTGGTGTTGAGCGCCAGCGTTTGTGCATCCACAAACCAAGACCCTGTTGCAGCTTAGTGGAAGCCAGAGAAGATGATCGCTGAGATGTATCCAGTACTAGAAACAAGGCAATGCTAGGATAGTCATAAAACATGAAAACAAGAAAGAACTAGTAGAACCCAGAAACAGAGAAAGATAGGAAGCTAAACCCAGAACATGTACACAATACATAAAGGGAACATTAACTAAACTGGGGCAGGACAGGACTGTACATGGACTGAGATTACAAAATAAAACAAGACAAGATATAATAGGCAAAACAAGAGGAGACATAACTAAGCACTATAAATGAAAAGTATGGGGATTTAGTTATATTATATGATCATACATTGCATAAGCCTGCCACAACGACAATGTACCCCATATTCAGCAGGTCCTACACTGCCTAATGTTCGCTAAAAGAACCATACTAAACCACAATAGCACTTACCTGCAAGAAAGGGCACAGACTTGAACCACTGCTGCAGATCCAGACTGAAACAAAAGGAAAATGGAAAACAAAATGGTGTGGCAACATAAAACAAACATTTAAAGGAAACCTGGACACTGGGAATTCCAGGGACGGATTACAGGAATGAACCCAGAAAAATCCAGCATAAAGAAAACCAGACATAGAATAGAAAACCAGAAAAAACAAGAAAAACTAAACAAGAATTGTAAAAAGAGTACTGGATACCAGAAGCCAAGACAAGACATCTCCACAGAGCAGAGCAGGATGTGACAGATTGTAACCAAACTGCATCCAACACTTGCCACTTTCTCTATAGACTGGACATAACTACTGGCATTGTGGTATCCTGAGGTACTATCGGCAACTATAAACTCCACGGGGACTAAGCCCTTTTGTGGCTGAAATGCTTATTTGCGCATTAAGGAATATTTATTTTTGTGCCACTAATTTTGTGAGTGTACTGTAATTGTTTTTCTTTTTAACATTGTTATCATTAAATGCTACACTATAAGTTATCTCATTTTATCTCTTTTCATGTTATCCTCTTCCATCCAAGTGGTAATTATATTTACACATTTGTGGAAGTGGCGCCCTACTCTGTATATGTTTTTTAACTATACAGAACTTGTTTTATTGATTGCTGGGATTTGGGGAGTGATCATTTTTGTTAGTGACTTCCCTGCACGTGTTCCCTGCACTTTTTTCCACTTACCTAATTTTACCCCAAGTTGATAAAAAGAGAAAGCCCTAAGGGGAGAAACACCTTGTGGAAATTTTGACTAACTGTATTTTATTAAAGGTATTTTGGCCACTTTCTTTGTTGTGAGTTAGCCATTTTATCTTTTTTACCATTTTTATTATTTTGCTACCTGGCATCTGAATTTTACTTGTTCCAGAGAGATACTACTCCAAAGCATTCTTGGTGGGGATTTTACCACTTATGCCCTATCATTGAGTAGTACGTCTGCCCAATTAAATGTGAGTAACCATTTGGTATTTTTGTACACTCTCCTGGTTTTATCACAGTGAGCAATATTGTTGTTTTTATGTTACATATGGTCCCCATCTGACGAGATATCTACTTACAACACTATCCCATAAGTGGGGATTATACCATTGTATGCTGTATATACTAGAGCTAGTTTTTAGCTCTCAAAAACGTGAGTAGGACCATATGGACCTTTTTTATTGGCTGCTACCTATTTGGGTTTTATTGCACTATTAGATTTTCTTTTCTCTTTCATACGGATCCCACGAACCCCTTTATCCCACTACTCCATAGATATCTCTACCTCAGATAGAACTTTGATTGTTCTCTCATCCAAAGATTTTACTGGACTCTTTTTGGACTGTTATATATATATATATTATTGTTCTCTCTCTGTATTATATATTTTTGTTTATTTCTATATTACAACTTGCTTATATTTAATTGTACATATTATCTCTGTGGTGCCACCTTTTTCTATTTCCTTATACCTATATACCTATAGAGCCTGAAGGGAGCCCTATCCTTTAGGTGTGTTGCCTTTATTTAAGTTTTTAAGTGCCGATCCTTTTGTACACTTTTCAAAGGAATCCATGTTTAAAATGGAATTAGGCAAAATGTGATTCTTTGTTAAAATAATTTGCATATGTCCACTCAGAATCCTTTGCGGTAGAAACATCACTGCAAATATGTGATTTCTGTGGGAAAAGCAAGTCTTATGGCTTGACTGGTGTGCACATTTTTGTTTAACATTTTATTAACTATCCACAGACATCAGGTGGAAGGGGATATTGGTGCGGTGTAAGTGACAAGGACCTACACCTATAAGTGGAGCGCTCAAACACAGATAAATCTTACCAAAACGTAGTCTCATTCAATGGTAAAATATGGGGTACATGTCAACATAAAATACAGAAAATACAATATAGTGTAGACGGTACTAAAAAATGGCTTCACAGTGATTATAATAATATTGTGTTGAATATTACACTCACATTTCAAGGAGCCTGTATATAGAAAACACTGGCTCCGTATAAAGGCTTGTGTGCTGTTATGGTAGCACCACCCTCCTACTTCGGCTTGAAGAATTTCTCAGGAACACGAAAAAAAGAGAAGAAAGCAAACCAATGTGTAGACTTATGGTGGTAGATGGCACAGATATGTGTTCAATAAATGGGGTGCTCACCTGGTCCTGAGCCTACGAATCCCGGCTCTAGGTATGTGGATTTTGTGCCAGTTTGAATGGGGATGGCACTACCCCTGTGAGGATTCCTTGGAGGCTCCAAAAGGAACTTGGATGAGGTATTGAATAAAAATGGTGAATTTATTAGTTTAAAATAAACATAAAAACAAAGATGATAAAAGTCCTCAAATAAAAGTCCTTTAAAAATGGCCAATACGCGTTTCACTCTCAAATAGAGCTTCTTCAGTCAGTCCCAATTAGTACTGAAAAAATGAGGTGTATACAGAGTGGAAATATTATAAGCAATTGAAACACAAACAGTGGTTGTGGTAAAACAAAGAACAATCTGTAGGTATACTTGCAAACATGGAAATCACTCTGACACCTACTAAGGAGACAAAAACAGAAAGAGAGCTCCTAGTGCAGCATAGTAATTTACTTATAGATATATAAAATAAAGCAAATAGATGTGCCCTTAAGGTATTACACTCACAAGATTGGAGTGGTAAAAGCACCACTCGTTGCTATAGCACTCAGGGAGGATCAGCCCTAGAGTGCGTGGGATCCGTGGAAAAGAAGCTTGCAATCCGGATCTCAGGTAAGTATACTTTATTAATAGCAATTTAAAAACAGCAAAACTTGTTGTGGATTCTTAAAACCACAAAGAACTACAGTCTCTGCTTGGTTTGCATAATTTTGCCATGAGGACCATTCCTCAAGGTAGATTTTTCATTTCGTGACTGCTCAGTTTGTTCCCTGACCTTCCGTCAGACAATAGCCGCAAAACTTTAAACCCGCACGCAATGGCTGACTCACTGATGTGGTGCACTTTTCTGACTACATGAAACGTGAAAGCTATGTTTATCCCCTCAATTTCCAACAAGTCCCAGATACTCTGGACAATGTTGCTGCCATCTGTGGCAATCAGTGGCTCTGGGGTTCTTGGTCTAATTAAGTCAAATCCTTACCAGGTTTCTCTAAAACATCTGCATTATTCAAGTTATACCCGATAGTTGTGGCAGCAATTGCCTGGGGTCCTTGCTGGGCAGGTCACTTGGTCAGATGCTTCTTTGACAACCAAGCTACCTATCGCATTGTAAATAAAGACCTGTCATTATGTTTGGTCATTATGAGGC